ACAAATTTAAAAATCGCTAATTTTCGAAATTTTTTCAATTTTTTTTACTTAAAAGTGCCATAACTTTTTCAAAAATGAACATATCAATATAATTCTTTTTTATATAGATGCATAATATCATTACCTTTCATTTGGTATATTTTTTTCATAAATTTAACCCTTAACCTGCCCACAAGGGGGGATTTAAAATGACAACTTTTTCACAAAAAATTAATTTTTTTAACTTAAATTTTGAAAATGTTCCGGAAGGTCTGACACTTTTATATATATCTTAAATTAAAGCTAATGTAATATACTTTATCATGAAAAAAAAAACTTTCGGACTTTATTTTATCTTCACGGTGAAAATGTCTACCGAATGCTATTTTTGTGTGAAAATGTTCGATTTTGTATTTTACNTTTTTGTGTGAAAATTTTCGATTTTGTATTTTACATTTTTAACTTTATTATGCTATAACTTTTTGAAAAATGTATGGATCAGTATAATTTTTTCATGAGGAGTAGTATTTATATACATCTTTCATTTGACATACTGTTTTTATAAATCCGACCATTTCCCTATATACGAGGGGGGTTCAAATCTAAAAAATGCATGTAGAAAGTAGAACTTTTTCAACTTAAATTTTGAAAGTGTTCCGGAAAGTCTGACACTTTTATATATATCTTAAATTAAAGCTAATGTAATATACTTTATTATGGAAAAAAAAAATTTCGGACTTTATTTTGTCTTCATGGTGAAAATGGCTACCGAATGCTATTTTTGTGTGAAAATTCTCGATTTTATTTTTTACATTTTTAACTTTATAATGCTATGACATATTGAAAAGTGTATGGATCAACATTATTTTTTTATGAGAAATACTATTTTTTAATAATCCCTTTTTCATTCTACATACTTTATCTTAATTAGGATATTAATAATGAACTAGCAGAACATGTAGCTTTTGGAATAGTCCACCAATTTTTTAAAATTAAACACTATCTAAAGATTTGCATCGAAGCGTTTTTTTTTGATAGTGATTTTAATCACTGTCAGATATCATTATACTTGATCCAAATATGTCACGTCACCACTGTGCCGCGACCCCCCTGTGCTGGGTTTTTTAAATCGGATCATTTCCCTATATACGAGGGGGGTTCAAATCTAAAAAATGCATGTAGAAAGTAGAACTATTTCAACTTAAATTTTGAAAGTGTTCCGGAAAGTCTGACACTTTTATATATATCTTAAATTAAAGCTAATGTAATATACTTTATTATGCAGAAAAAAAATTTCGGACTTTATTTTATCTTCATGGTGAAAACAGACATCAAAGTTTATAAAAAAAATACGATATTTGTAAAAAAAATTCTTTTTTATGTTTTTAACTTTATAATGCTATAACTTTTTGAAAGATGTATGGATCAATATAATTTTTTTTTTATAGATGCATGATGTCTTTACTTATCATTTAGTATATATTTTTTTTATATCTGACCCTTTACCTGCCCACAGCGGGGGATTTAAAATGACAACTTTTTCAACTTAAATTTTGAAAGTGTTCCGGAAATTCCTACACTTTTATATATATCTTAAATTAAAGCTAATGTAATTTACCTTATTATGCAAAAAAAAATTTCGGACTTTATTTTATCTTCACAATGAAAATGGCTACCAAATGCTATTATTGTGTGAAAATTCTCGATTTTATTTTTTACATTTTTAACTTTATAATGCTATGACATATTGAAAAGTGTATGGATCAACATTATTTTTTTATGAGAAATAATATTTTTTAATAATCCCTTTTTCATTCTACATACTTTATCTTAATTAGGATATTAATAATGAACTAGCAGATCATGTAGCTTTTGGAATAGTCCACCAATTTTTTAAAATTAAACACTATCTAAAGATTTGCATCGAAGCGTTTTTTTTTTATAGTGATTTTAATCACTGTCAGATATCATTATACTTGATCCATCTATGCCACGTCACCACTGTGCCGCGACCCCCCTGTGCTGGGTTTTTTTTTTACAATTTTTCATTATAATCTATTCTTTAAATTGCATATTTTGAATATATTATAAAAATATAATATATTTTTAAGTTTAAAAATTTTTATTTTTAAATAAATTAAAAATTATGATTTATTATAATATTTAATAGTCCAAAAGCATAATCATAAAAAATATTCACAGTTCAAAAGTTATATGAAATATCAGAAACCATTGAAACAGAGTGTCTCACTATACAGAGTGATCAGTTTATCATAAACTACTCGATTATTCTCAAAATAAATACAATATTGAAAAAAAATAATTTTGCTTTTTTTAGTTATGTATATTTCTTGATTTATCAGCTAATAATTACTTAAAAGAATCATCTCTTTTAACTTAAAGAGGTGTCAACTTTTTTTTTTTAAATGGGAACATACACATTTAATTAGCTTATAAAATATGAAATAATGTAATTAGAAATCTAATAAGAAAATAACTGGTCAATAACAACTTTTGAACTAATATTTCAGAAGTTATTGACAAATTATTGTGATGAGTGGGTAATACTATTTTCATCACTAGGCATTTTTTTACCGTACTCTTTGTCCCACCTAAATATAAAAATGACATTAACTTCCAAAGTACTGGTTCAAAAGTTGTTATCAACTAGTCATTTTCTTAATTAGATAATTTTCTATTTTATAAAATACTATATATGTATGTTAAAAAAAAAAAATAATCATCTCTTATTTTAAGGAATGATCCTAAATAGTTTTTAGCTGATAAATTAAGAATCATGCAACTAAAAAAATCAATAACTATTATTCCAATATTGTATTTATTATGGGAATAATCCAGTGATTTATGATAAACCCATCACTCTATAAACATTAGTTTTAATATTTTTAATACATACATTGATATAAAAATATATAATATATTATTTTAAAATATATTTCAGATTTCCACTTGCATCTTCTGTTGTAAATTATGCTAATGCTACCAGACGAATGCAACGAACTAGGCGTCTTAAAAATCAACCAGAAAATTCTTCCAAGAAAGAGCCACCATTATTACTGTCAGTGCAAGTGATACCAGGTACTCGACGTGGTACATCTTTATATATGGATGAATTAGGATATCACTATCATAATGATACTTTGACAAGTAATGGAAAGTAAGAATGTTATTTAAAAAAAAACTAATATTAATTATTATTTTTAAACATAACTAATTTTCTTCATTTTTACATTTGAAAGTTTTTAATTACAGTATTTAGAGGGCATCAATGTTTTTTTTAATACTCATATCTCTTTTAAATTTGTTAAATTTTATGTTTTAAAACAATGAAAAATATTTTCTTATATTACTATAGTATTAAATTATATGAAACCTGGTATATTTTACCCATTGTTAACTTCTAAAATATTCACTATTTCATAAAATATTAATGTTATTATATATTTATTTATAATAGTTTTTACTTTGTTGCCTAATTAATTAACTGTATAATTATTTATAGAATTGTTAGATGTACCCGAAACCGAAAAACTGCAACAGAAGATGCATGTCATTCTAGAGGTTTTCTGCGCTCTTCTGGAGATGGTTTTGTAATATATCGTACAAAAAACCATAACCATCCTCCAGGAGATCTCAAAAGGAATCCTATGGAACGATCATTTATCAATATTTTATGTGAAAGAGCTAGAAATGAATCACATTTAGGACTTAAAGACATATATAATGAAGAAGTAGAAAGGTTTTATATAACAACTATATTAGTTATTACTTCTGATATAAATTATTATATTTACTGATAGGTTCCTCGATGTAGCAGACAAAATACCATATCGTATGGCTTGGCGGAGTATGGCCAGAATGAGACAACCTCCTAAAGCATCTGGTGAAATTAAAGTTGTAAATGTATCTGTTGTTTCTGGTTTATGGGAAGGATATACTCTGTACAGAGATGATATAGGATTTTTATATTCTTTAAGAAAAGGAAGAAAGTAAATATTGTGAATAAAAAAGTGTATTTGTTCTTATTACTTTTTTTATCATAGATTTGTGTGGTGTCATATGAATACTAAACTCAAATGTGTTGTAAAAGGTACTATATCCACTGAAAATAATATAAGTACTATGGAATACACAGGCGAGCATAATCATCCTCCATTAGATGATGATGAATTCCAAGCAGCTATTTTTATTGAAAAAATAATGTTGAGGTGCTTAGAAGATGATAGCAAACCCAAAAAACTTTATGAAGAAGAAATAATTAAGTAAATTTAATAAATATTTAACATTATTAAGTAAATTACTGAAATTCAGTAGATTATGTGATATATATAAAACTTTTCATCATAATCACTTGTTATATTATGTTTGAAATGATAGGATTTATAATAAAATAATTTTTTAGTGATAAAAAAATTATAATTGTAAAATACAATTTTATTTTTATAACCATCCCCTTTAAAAATATTTTGTTTGGTTTTCATATCTAGTCATGTTGATGATTTTTTTGACATTATTCTAAAAACCTTTTATAAAAAAAAATGAAGTATTTAAAAATTGCGAATCATGTATTACGCCACCTGCTTTGGACATATCACACGACTGGACTCAACGAACCAATCTGCACCCTCGCACCTTTGCCTTCAACGCTGCTAACCTTTTGATTATGCTGGACACCGCGTCGCCGACTTTAACAAAAGTACCGTGATAAGTGAAGTCTTATAAGTCTTTACGGTTTTTTTTTTTTAATAACCTGTTGTTGCTTATTAATAAACAGCCCATGGGTCTCTATCCTCAAAACCAGTGTCGACTACATTATTACGATATAAATCATGTCAAAAAAAAAAAAAAAATAAGAATAATCAGTTTTTTTGTAAAACATCTAATGAAACTATTTACCAATATAGTAATAAAATTAAATTCTTTATCATTAAAGTAATTTTTTGTAATATAGATATTTTTCTTAGTTAACAGGATATTTTTCAAGACATTGGTATATTTCACTGTTTATAATAGGTGAAAATAACTATGGTAACTTAAAGGTGTGGTATCAGTTTTTTGTAGAATGAGTTTTTTTCAAAGAAAGGAAATAATGCAGCTAAATTTAGTTTATTGGTTGGTTGAATTATCTACTGATTGACATCTTACTTTTTTATGATAATTAATAATAAGTCTACTTTGTAAATATATCAAAATATTCTAATACTATCACTTAAACCTTATTTATACTCCTATAACACATATGTTTTACTTTTTTAGTTTTCCAGGTGTAGAAAAACGAGTTTCTTTATCATATGCACGTGAGAAGATCAAAGCAAGAAGAAAAAGTATATTTAAAAAAAACCAAACTCTTGAAACATTACAAACTACTTGTGAACCTTTACAATATGTTGAATTTTGGGGAGTTGAAGACAAAAACATAGATACTACTGATAATGTTGTTACTGAAGATATTTTTTCAGATGATGAACAATTTGGAGAAAAATGTAATGAGTCTAACAATGTTTATTCTGATGAACTTGGACACAAATACTCTTTAGTTAGCATAAAAAACAATACTAGGTATAGTACATTCATTGAGATTTTGAAATTGTAGCTATGGTACTGAGATTTTAAATAATAAACTGAAAATTCTACAAAGTAAATTAAAAATCTTTTAAATGCATTATTATTATAATTATTTCTAATTTATTACTTTATTTTTTTTTTAATAGTATTTTAATTAATTTTATATTCTCCTAGATTTTTATTTAATTTAATCTCTCTCACTTTTGTTATAAAATATTAGATATTCTAATTATTTGTTTACTTGATTACACGCCCAAAATATTATACAAAATTTGTTATCATAGATATTTAGAATGTATCAATAAACATGATGGATGCGATTCTCGTGGAGAAATGTTTAAAGGAGAAAATGATGAATGGCTTTTTGTTCAACATAGCTCTTTGCACAATCATTCACCACCAAGAGAGGACGAAGATGAATAATTTTGAAGAAATAACTAGGATTAATTTTTATTATGTCTTACAATTAATATTTTTATGTATTTTTTTTTTTATTTATGGAAATTAAATACTGTAAGTCACTTGTTATTCCTTACTACTCCTTCTGTCATTATTTATGAACGACTAACTTAAGTTGTTTATTCAATTATCAAAATAAACAATTTAATTATTTTTATACTACAATGTCATTCGTTTTTTAATATTGTTTATGAAATATTAAAATATTAATTACCACTAAATGTAAATCAAAAGGAAACTTTAAATTTTAAATAAATTTATTAAGATCACAGGCATTTATAAAAAATATAAACATAAATAATTTATTTAACAATTTTTATTTTAATAATAATATTTGGATGACAAAGTAAAATATATACAATTAATTACATTTTAAACAAATTAAGACAGTAATAATGTTCTAGTGTTAATTATTTAATTTACAATAAGCGGCTTAAATAATTCACCAGAAAAGTTAAGAAAAAAGTAGGTAAATATTACTAAACATATAAAGACAATTTTACAAAAACATTTTTTGATCTTTATTCTAAACACAGAATAAAATAGAATAATTTTTATAGAATTTATCAAATTAAAATATTTAATATAATCAATTAGATGAAACATTAAGTCTAATCGTCAACACGTAAAAAGTTGAATAACATGCTATATAGACTTATTTGATGATTATCCAAGTTGAATGTTTATGTGTTCATAATTTTAATTGTAACTACTGCTCTTGCCGTGGAAAATCACTTTGAAACCTACATCTGTGACAAAATATAAAATGCACATAAAGGTTAAAATTATTTCACATTTTGATAAAATACAATTCTAGAATACAAATGCTTGATCAGGTACAAAACGGAGTGAATAAAACTGAAATAACACTATAAAAATTACATGGTATTGTTTTTAAGTGCATTGCCCATTTCAAAAAAATATTGATCATAAGTCGTTTTGAAAAAAATATTTAATTAAGATTAGATTAATTTAATTTAAATATTAATAATTAATTACTTTGTTTAGTTAAGTTGTAATGTTGCTTGAAATTAAAGGGAACCTGGAAATTCTAAATGAAATCTTTAATATAAAAGATACTATGGTTTTGGACAATTATTTTAAAATACAAAATACTAATATTTCATTAAAAACAGTATCTTTTTCAAAACTTTTATACAATAATTAAAAAATGTTGACACAAAAAAAAAAAAAATAAATAAATAATAGAGAGAAAAGTATTATTTTTTAAATGGACATTACACATTTTAAAATTATATATAGATTAATTAATTTGATACATGATATAACAATTTTTCAAAACTTTATTTTAGTATACAATAATACATTTTTTTTCATAATAATATATTACAAAATGACAAAGAGTTTTTAAAAATTGATTGAGAACATCAGAAAAAGTTCGTTTATTTTCATTATGTGTAAACTACTGTAAACCCCAACTACCAATAAGATTAAACTGTTCCTATATTCAACACAAAAAAAAGTTAACATATTTTGGATTGGGTTCCATCCAAAATATTAAAAAAAATTTAAACAAAGAATTGCATTACACTTTGAATATTGATTTCTTAGGATAAAATATAATAATTATTAATTGAGCTAGATTAAAAAAAAAAAATTAGTAATGAAATTAGACATTTAGGATAAAAATAAACAAATTATTTAATCAAAATTATTTTTAATTGTTAAGGTTCAATCAATAATAAAAACTAATTGTAATAATTATAATTTAAATTTTTTTGTAGCATTCACTCCGTTATTTTATATAACAAAAAAAAAAATACATATAAAATAAAAACTCAATAACTATCACAAATATTCATCTTTAAAAGTAATTAAATATAATAAGTTATAACTAGGAACTTATTTTTACAAACAGGAACAATATAGAAAAAAAAATACTAATTCCAACATTAAGTGTTATTTGTAGAATAAATAAATAAATTTTCTGTAAATATTTAACTACAAAAGCATGCTTAACTGATGGTATTTCATGTAAATGGTAATAACAACAATGTCCCCTATTAAATATCATATGAAATAAATGTTTGTAAATTAACAATTTAATACCTAGTTATCATTTTTATATTTTAATAAATATTTAAAATAAAAATAACAAACCAAAATATCAACAAAATTTTAAACATCATAAATAAAAATACAGAAGATATTAGTCTCTATATCGCCAGTTTATCAATAATTTTTCATTTTGATATATTGATTACAATCAAGATATGTTAAATTATCTAAGAACACAACATTTGATTTCCAAATATAAATATATTGAGTCTTTTAACATAATTATAACATACTTGTATAACTAATAAAAAAGATATTCCTTTTGGAACATATGTATTTAAAGTAAAAAATGTTAAAAAGTTCTTAAAACTATGTAAACTTTTTTATTAATAATTGAGTTAGTTAAACAAATAAATTTATAAATAAAGTAACTAACATAATTATCATATTTTTAATGTGCTGAATTTATTTTGATAAATTTTGAATTGAATTAACAACAAAATATGTATGTTTACCCTTTTCAAATTTCATCTAATTGGTCATAAGTTACAACCTAACCAAACAACCAAAATGCCTAAAATTTGTTTAACACAAATTCAAAATGCAAATCTGCAATCCTAAGATTTAACTTTTTATGATTAATACTGATTAATATACAAAAAGTTTTCAATAAGATTTATTATGAAGATGGACTTATAAATAAAAAATATTTTTTCATCTTTAATTTGTTTTAAATATTCTCATTATTTATAAAAATAATTGTATGATAGAGAATTGCATTTACTAAAATATTGTGATATGAATACTGAAAATGAATTACAACTTATGAAAATTATAATAATATAACTAAAATATTGAAGTATTATAGGAAAATTTTTTATCAATTTAAAAATAATTCTTTATTCATTTTATTTAATAGTTTTGAGTTTTAGTACAAATAGAATTATTTGTATAAAATCAATTAACAATTGAAATTAAATTAAGTATCATTTCCTACACAAAATTACTATGAGTTATTACTACTAATACCATATGATTTAATCTATGATAATGTTTAATTTTATGAGTTGTATTTTAGTTATTGAAATTACAGTTACATTATCAATAAAAATTTTTCATTCTTAAAAATCATACAAAATATAAATTAATTATAAAGACGAAACAGCTAAACCATAGAAGAAAAGATGCATTTGATTAGGACAAAAAATACCTGATTAAAATCTGTAACACTTATGTTTCTTTTTTTCATTTTCCTTAATCCTTTATGAATTGTTAAATTTTCAGTAATTCCAATCGTCCTTAGTCGAGATGGAACTTTTTTCAATTTACCCTTCAATTTTTTAACACTTTCATATGACTCTTCTTTATCCTCAAGGTTTTCTAAATGTTAAAAATGCACTTAGGTTATAACATAAAAATAAAATTGGCACTTTTTTTTTTTTATCTCACTAACTATTTAAATTAAATGATAAAAAATATTATGACTAATCAAATTTTTTAACATTGTTAACATAATAGAAAACTTAAACACAATGTAAACATAAATAACTTATTGAAGATGATTGATTACAGAACTTCAATAAATAATAACTCCCCCTACTTACTTTTACCTCTCTGGTTATAGGTACAATTTGTAATTAATATTTTAGTCATATATATTTACTCAAAATGTAAGATATTAAAACTTTATAGCAAATTATTAACTTAATCTACTAAAATACTATCATCCTTAAAAACTATAGGCCTATCTAATCGGTGTTTTATTATATTAGCTAAACATCTTATAGTGGATTATTAGCTCATTTTGAAAAACTTAAAAACTATAGATTTATCCAAAATTAAGCTGACCAAGTCACTTAAGTTTTCAAATAGTTTAAAAAGAAATTTAAGAAAAATTAAATATTTATAGATTTACCTCTAAGTATTAAATATACTAAACAATTTAGTTTAATTGGAATTATCTATGGAATTTTTATATTTATACAAACATGCTCATAAATATGACTTTAGAAGATAAAAGATTTAATTTCATTACTTTTAGTAGGTAGATATCTATTTTTATTATTTAAAAAAAGGTATAGATTCCTAAATCTGTATTTAAGTGGTAGAAGAAACCAAGTCCATTTTTATAACTTCAAAAGTAGCAAAAAACACTTTATTTGATGGATTTTATCTAACTAAAACTGATTGTGTAAATTCAATTATAAAATTGTAATAATTAGGTTAATTTTATATTATGTAAATGAATAATTTTAATTTAATTAGAGCTTATTTTGCCTCTCAGGTACAAAAATAATGATAAACAATAATTATTTTGATATTATAAAGTTCATTATTAGGATTTACATATTACATGAAGTAAACAGGACATAGAAAAGGCCACTATCCTGATGACCAAAAAAGTACCCCGCATTTCAACTACTTACTTTCAAGGAGATTGACATCTACTTCTGATCTATTTTTGTCTCTATTTACAACAACTACTCTACGTCCATCTGAATTTCCTAAAAAAATAAATAAAATAAAAATAAAAACATTGAGTATATAAATAGTTTAATAATTAATTATCCATTTATATTAAATTGCATTTATACTCGAATCATTTTAATACCACAGATAATAAATATAATATCTTAAAATTTGATTTATAATTTTGCATAATTTGTACATAAAATGCTTCCAACTTATCAGAAGACAAATAGAATTATAATATTAATAAAATTATAAAAATAAAAAAAAAAATTGTATCAAAATATTAATATCAATAATACTTGTTCTTAATGTAATCAAAATGTTGGTGGATATCATAGAAATACTTATACAATTATATAAAGTAAATTTAAAAAATAATAATTAGTTATTTACAACAATAAACTGTGTATTTTCTTATATTTTACCTTTAATTTAATCCACCCCTTAAAATCTTTATAAAATTCCATCACAGGGAGGTCACGGCACAGTTGGGTCAAGTATAATGATATCTGACAGTGATTAAAATCACTATCATAAAAAACGCTTCGATGCAAATCTTTAGATAGTGATTAATTTTAAAAAATTGGTGAATAATTCCAAAAGCTACATGATCTGCTATTTCCTTATTTATATCCTGATTAAGATAAAGTATGTCGAATGAAAGATGTATATAAATACTTTAGACCAGTCAATAAAGAAGTAATTTTGGCAAATGGCGAAAAAAATTCCCAACCAATTTTTTTTTTTTTAAAGTTGAATTAAGATGTTGATATGTATAATGACATACTAAAAGTCCTCATCGATTGGAATTGACATACAACCGATAGAGTAGGTAATTGATTTGACACTATATTGTTTAAACCTAACCAAACACTAAATTGTACATTACCAAACAACAATTATATTATGTCAATTGCCACTGGATTTCTGGTAATGATAAAGTTAATTGTCACAAAGCATATTGGCCTTTGGTCGGGTGCTGGAGCTGGTAAAAATTGTGGCTGCCGAAAAACAGGGCTTAAATGTTCTATTATATGTGAACATTGCAAAGGTCAATGGCTTACAAATTCAATAGAAATAAAGATTGAAGATTAAGAAGATTTTACTTTTGTTGAAGACATATTCTATCAAAATTTAGAATGGGAAAATGAATAAGGAAATGGAAAAAAAATTTGTTTAATATAATTGTCAAATAAATTTATAGAGGAGAAATCCTCCATAGATTACATACTTTGCTCTATTAATGCATATAAGTTGTAAATAGAATATAAATAAGGAAATAAGACATCATGTAGCTTTTGTAATAATCCATTAATTTTTTTAAATTAAACACTATCTACAGATTTGCATCAAGGCGTTTTTTATGATAATGATTTTAATTACTGTCACATATCATCTATACTGGACCCAATTATACCATGTCCCCACTGTGCCGGGACACTGCTGGTTTTTTCTTTAAATAGCGATTAGTTGAAATAGTAGCTATGGGTTTACTTTAATTATTTCATTATTAATTTTAACGATAGAAATTATTGAATATAGAGTTATAACTTTATTTGACCTTTTAAGTTTTATATCATGATAGTTATTACCCTCCATTGAGTTTACTAGAACAAGACCAATTTCATACACTTTATGACAATTAATTATATCATTACCAAAAATTCCGGTTGGGCTGACAAAAGGGAAAATGAGGTAGGTGAAATGAGTAGATCAGTGACAAGAGACGAGAACGTGATTGAGGAGGTAAAATTTTTAAGTATTTAGGATCAGTTGTGCAAAAGAGTGGTGGTATTGACGAGGATATAAGACACTGGATTAAAAGCGGGTGGTTGAAGTGGAGAGAAACGTCTGGTGTCTTATGCGATAAAAGAATTCCAATGATGCTAAAAGGTAAATTCTACAAGACTGTAGTGAGGCCAGCTATGATGAATGGTTCAGAGTGTGTAGTGTTGTTGACAAGAAAGTAGAGCAGAAATTAGAATTTTAAATGGATGAGTGGAGTTACTAGAAAATATAGAATAAGGAACGAGCATATAAGAAGGATATATAATATAATATAATATAATCGTGGAAAAGATAAGAGATAATAGACTTAGATGGTTTGGTCATGTTATGAGGAGAGAAGAATCGGAAGCTGTAAGAACAGTTATAGAAATGAATGTTGAAGGAAGAAGAAGTAGAGGAAGACCAAAAAAGAAATTGAGCGATGTTATTGAATAGGATATGAGGACAGCTGATGTGAGTGTAGAGGATGTAGGAGATCATGTCAAGTGGAAGTTTAGGATAAGGGTGACCAACCTCAAGTAGTTGGGATTAAGGCAAAGAAAAAGAAGAGGATTACCAGAAATTCTGGTGGCAATTGACATAATATAATTGTTGTTTGGAATGTAAAATTTAGTGTTTAGTTAGGTTTAAACAATATAGTTTCAAATCAATTACCTACTCTATCGGTTGTATCTTAATATACACTACACTTTAATGATACTATAAATAAATGAACTCACATATAAACACATATGCATATGACTGGCCTACTACTTCTCATAAAAAAATTGAGTTGAATTAATTATATTACATTAGCTTTAATTTAAGATATATATAAAAGTGTCAGACTTTCTGGAACACTTTCAAAAGTTGAAAAGTTGAACAAGTTCTACTTTAGCATTCAAAATACCCTTCAGTAGCCATTTTCACCGTGAAAACAAAATAAAGTCTGAAATTTTTTTTTTCTACACTTTCAAAAATTAGTTTTTTGTAAAAAAATTATCATTTTAAATCCCTCCCTGTCAGATTTATGCATATGCATAAATTCAGTGAGAGCTGAGAAAAAATGGTAACAGACACAAAAAAAAACACATAGTAAAACTAATACCTTCTCAGTTTCTCATCAAAACTAAAAGAAGACAAGCCACTATATTTTACAATTAGATGGCAGGGTATTTCCCGATGTATTTTAAGAAAACATTTTAGTTGTAAAACTATAGCTCTATAGTTAACATGCTTTTACAGAGAATATTCTAAGTTAAGCATTTCAACAAATCGTGATTACTAAAAACTCATATAGAATTTAACTCTAAAATTAATGATATCAAGATTAACTTTAAGGTTTTCTACAATTTTTTAATCTGGCAACATGAATATCTGTCTCAGATATCCATGGTAAATCATTAAGGAGAATACTATGGCCCTTAAAAAACTACAAAAGTGTTAGAAAAAAATCATTATTATTATTTTGAAGTCGCCTGTTCCAATTCTTAGCTTTGTACGTATTATAATGTAAATACTTTTATTATATATGCGCTTTTCAAGTATAAATGATTCCAAAACACAATAATCTACTTTATTAACTACTTATACACAAAAAAAACTCTAAGAAATGATTCAAATATAATATTTTAAGATGCAGTGTTAGGGTGACGTAATTTTTAAAATAACTTACAATTAATATTCTATAATTATTTTATATTATATGTAAATATTGAAAATAGTTGAGTTTTCAATAACAAAAGAAAAAAACTTTTAATAATTACAGATCTCTATATTAATTACAGGTAGGTTTTTTATAGCTATTTTAAAATCATACGTTTTACTGATTCATCATTTACATGTTAATTTTAGCATGAAAGTGCTAAAACTCAACATAAATGTAAAATTTTTATTATTAGGTTATCAAACATTTCTCATACATTAAATGTGATAATAAATTTCTACTTTTTTAATGCAAAGAGAAATCTATACATTTTTTTAAATAGTGAAATAAAAAAATAGATATACCTTCTGTTTTAATGCTTATTTCAGGTAATTCACCATGTATTTTTCTCTTGACTTCAATAGAACCACTAAATAATTTTTAGCTTTAATTAAAACATACATGATTATAATTAAATCGGGTTTTTCAAAAAGGCCAAATCTCCATAAAATTTAATTTTCCAGGAAACGTAAAAAACTGTTTTTAAAGATCAAAATAAATATAGATGAAAATTAAATAAGGGTTGAATTATTGAATTCCCTTATAAAAAACCAGCTATGATGCAAAATATTGACTATATATACCTATTGGATTATTTTATGAGGGAATGAACGTGTTTGAGATATGGGCTTTTCCAATGGATTATTTTTTTCATTGATAATGACCTCGCGACTGATCAATTATTTATTGTATATCATATAAAATTAAATAATTAGTCTTACAAAATATATTGTGCATTCTTTGTAATAATTTTATTTATGAACTTCAACATCACTTCTTTTTAGTTAATTTTTTCTTTTAATACCAATCGAAGACTCAGTTTCATCTTCGAATTCACTCATGTTGACTTATTATTATATTATATTCTTGATAATAACAATAATTATTATTGTTATTATCAACTGCTATCGACAAAAGATAGATAATAAACCAGATGAAAATAGAATCTTAACAAATAAAATTGCTGATCAAGTTATTTTTGAGAAATGGCCTTTTCGATTGTACTCGTTATTTTTAGACTTTAACAAGTTGTTGGAGATATGACGGTCTCGCAGGAAATATGCATTATTATTAGATAAACACATCTATCTACATAAAAGTAGTTTTAAAAAAATGTGGAGAAATGACCATTTTGAAATGACCGATTCAATTATAAGTTTTATTAAAAAGCATATTACCTTGTACCAACAACACCTCTAATAGCAGACTGCAATAAACGAGCTGGATAAAAAGTACCAGATTTTTTTTTTATTTGTACCTAAAATTTTAATTAAATTACAATAAATAATTACATACATAAAATTTTCTATAATTTACTGTATTTAAACGAAGAGCTCTTCTACGTTTTAATTCTGTTCTTAAATCTACAGTTTCATCACATTTAAGAGAATCTTTTTTCTCTTCAACAAATGTATGTACAACATGATTATCAATATCTTCTTCTGAATCATCCACATAACTTTCACTTGATTCTTGTCCTTCTTCTTTTTCACTTTCTTCATCATAATCATTTTCTTCTGATACGACTTCTTCATCTTTTTCTTCTTCCATAAGCTCTTCTGATGTACTAGATAATTCTAATATATCTGTAAATAATTTTCTAATGAAAATTGAACAATAAAATATTTTTTTCTAGTAATTATGATATTTTAAAAAAGAAACTATAAAAAATAAACTGAGAAATGCTAAACTATTAAACTCTACAAAGAATCTTAATTTCTAGTTAAAATTTTAAATATATTGCTGATACAAAATAATATCAAAGCAATGGTTATTCAACCTTGAGGTATTACATAACTTCAAATTTATATATTATAATATAATATCCAATGATGAACTAACTACCCCTAGATTATACATAGTTAAGAACTTTTCTATTCAGAGAAGACCACTATAGTTCTTAATGGCTGTTAAATTATATATACAGAGTGTTCAATAAGTAAGGAAACAGATCAATAATTGATCTCTTTCCTTACTTATTGAACACTTTATATATGTAATATAAAATTATGTATATTATACGCAATATTTAATAATAATAGTTATAGGAATATCCAAAAGAGACATTAGAGGATATCTGGTGGAACGAGGGACTAATAGATTAAATTAGTAAGAAATAGGCATGGGAAGCTGTGGTATCGATGAAAAATAATAAAGCAATCAGACCAGATGAAGTGCCAGTAGAAGAATGAAAAATATTGGCATAAGGTGGTTGAAGGAACTTTTAAATAAAATCTTATTAGAAGGGAAAATACCAAATTATTGGATGAATAGTATTGTGGTGTCGATATTGAAAGGTAAAGGAGACATACACAGAAGTGAGAAAATTATAGAGACATAAAGCTTATGAGTCATAGTATAAAAATTTAGAAAAAGTTAATAGATATTAGAATAAGAAATGGGACATCGGTATCTAAAAACCAATTTAGATTTATGCCTGGTAAGTCAACAATGGAGCCATTATTTTGTGCAAGACAACTAATAGAAAAGTTTAGGTAAAAGAAGAAAAATCTGTGTATGGTATTTATAGATTTGGAGAAAGCTATGATAGAGTACCAAGAGAGGGTTTTAAGCATTAATGAGAAAAGGAGTCCTGAAAAGATACATTAAAATAGTAGAGGATATGTATAATGGCACTCGTACCAGGATAAAAAGCGTAGGAGTAACAGAAAATTTTAGGGTAAAAGTAGGAGTGCACCAAGGTTCTGCTTTAAGCCCTTACTTATTTTCTAGTGATGGATGAAATTACTAGAGAAATACAAGGAGAGGTGACATGGTGCATGTTTTTCTGACAATATAATGTTAATAGGAGAAAATAGGAAGGAAAGTAATCAAAGGCTAGGGGTGTGGAGATCAGCTCTTGAAGAAAAGGGTTTAAGAATAAGTAGGAGTAAGACAGAGTATATAGAGTACAAGTTTGAACAAAGGAGAACATTAGGTAGGTGAAATGAGGAGTTGAGTGACAATAAGCAAGGACGTGGTAGATAAAGTGGAAAGTTTTAAGTATTTAAGATCAGTTGTACAAAAGAATGGTAGCATTTACGAGGATGTAAGATACAGGATTAAGTGGGAGTGGGTGAAATGGAACGAAGCGTCTAGTGTGTTATGTGATAAGAAAATTCTAATGAAGCTGAAAGTTAAGTTCTATAAGACTGTAGTGAGACCAGCTAGATGAATGGTTCAGAATGTAGTGTTGTTGACAAGAAAGTAGATCTGACATTAGAATTCTTAGATGGATGAGTGGAGTGACTATAGAAGATAGGATAAGGAACGGACATATAAGGAATATAGGTGTAACATCAATCGTAAATAAGATGAGAGAAAATAAACTTAGAAGTTGAAGGAAGAAGAGGCAGAGGAAGACCAAAAAAGAGATGGAGGAATGTAATTGAATGTGATACAAGGAGGGCTGATGTGAGCGTAAATGATGTGGGAGATCGTATCAAGTGGAAGTTTAGGATATGGGTGGCCAACCCTATGAAGTTGGGATTAAGGTGAAGAAAACAAAGAAGATTTAATAATAATAGTATTTATATATTTTAATATTGATAGTCGTATGTACTATGTACTGATAATTACAGATGGATTAATATAAGAAGGCATAAAGCAAGATCAGATCGGGCAGGGCTATCTTAATATGATTCATATTTAGCCTAATCAGGACATAATATTGATTTAATGCTTTAGATCAGGCCAGGTCAGACTATAATATTAATTTTATAATTCAGACCAGTCTGAATTGGGCCTAAAATTATATATATATATATATATAATTAAATCATATTTTTAAAGCCTGAACTAATATAAAGTAATTAGTTAAAAATATCATTAATCTTTAAAAATAATAAAATATATTTTGATTTATATTAAAATAATAAATTACTGATTATAATACCTTTTTCTTCAATTTGTTGATCAGCAGCAATTTCTTGTCCAAACATGATTCTAGGTCTTTTTTTATTGGTTTTTTCCGATTGTGTTATCAATTTCACAATTTTATCTACAGACTTTGTATTATTTTTAGTTTTTATACAATTTTTAACGTTTTGATTTAAGTGAGGAGATAATTTAGCTCTTTTAGATGTTAGAGAAATTTTGTTTGAAACATCTGTTTCAATTTCATCTTCGTTATCAGTTTGAATAGCAACTTGTACAGAATTGGATTTTTTCAAAATAATTTTTTTACTAGTAAGTTCAATAGGCTTATTGGATTCAAATTTTCTTTTTCTAGCTTCTAACACAGGATCCAGTATTTTATTATCAATTTCTTTATCTATTGATTTTGGCTTTTCTTTAACAGTTATATTATTGTCATCTAAAATTTTTGTGTCTTTTCGACGTAACAAAGGCGATGCACATCTTATTTTTTTCAATGGGCTAGGTGAACGTCTTCTAATTGGTATTCTACATTTAGGGGATCTTGATTTTGATCGAAGAGGTGATCTACTTCTTCTTCTAATTGGTGATAATCGTCTTCTACCTGGTGATATATCACGTGATATTGATCTACGTCTTCTCCTTGGAGATGGTGAACGGTAAGGATAACGAGATTTAGGTGGTGTATATCTTCTAGGAGAAAGATTTTTTTCTCTTAAAGGCGATATTCTTCTAGGTGATCTCCTAGGTGTTAAAGATCTTCGAAAAGTCCTAGATCTTATAGGTGAATATCTATATCTATCTGGTGTAGGAGATCTTCTACGTGGAGATCTTGGTGTTAATGATCTTTTACGGAGTTGTCTATATGGAGAAATAGATCTCTTTCTAATTGGTGACGGGGTTCTTGGATGAATATGCAGTTTTGGTAAACCACTGAATGATGATGAATTTCTAACTTCTTCAACAGTTTTAATTGATTCTAATTCTTCTGTCTGTTTTGGTAGAATTTTCAAATCATCCTTAAAATTTGGTTGACTTTCACATTTAATATTTTTAACTTTAATCTTGGATACACTTGGTTTGTCTTTCTTTACTTTATTGCATTGTTTTAAATTTTTTTTTTCCTTCTTTTGTTTAATATCTTTTCCAGCAATTTCAGCTTCCATGATATCCATTAATTTATCCAGATCATCTAAGTCTTCATCTTCTTGACCTAATAATAAAACATCCCCGTCATCAGAATCTACTTTTTCTTCTTTATCTGCATCACTTTCATCAGTGCTTTCTTCAGAACCAGAATCATTTTCTAATCTACTAAATTTAGTAGAAACTAAGAAAAAAAAATTTAATTATTTATTTTATATGTCTATAAATTATTACAAGAATTTAAAATACCTTCAATGTTTTCATTATTAATTTTATCTCCAGAATTTATACTTAAAGAATCTTTTGAAGATGCTTTATTGTTAACTTCGATTTGAGATTTAGAATTTTCTGATAGCTGATCCCCTTCAGAGTCAATTGGAATAATGGAAATCAAATTATTATTTGAATGTGTAGGTCTTTTAAAGCCAACCTGTAATTTATACATAAATAAGTTGTAAATTAATGAAGTTAAAATGAATATCTAAGAAACTTACATTTGCATATGTGCGTTTAAATGATCTGTTTGATGGTGGAAATCTACCTCTAGTATTTCTATTTCCATAATTACTATAGGAACTATTATTTCCAAATTTATTTTGTCCTATATCTCCTGATGTACTACTAATTGTATTAATTAAATTAGTAGGTTTTCTTTTACATGACATAAGAGCAGCTAAACGTAGTGATTCAACATCATCATCATCAATCTTCTAAAAAAACAAAAATGAACGATATAGTTAAAATTATATTAGAGTTGAATTAACAAATTAAATTGTTTAAATATTAATAATAAAGATAAATCCTTTTCTACACTTCCACTAACTGAACGTTTTCCAGACATTTTAATTGATTAATGTTTAAAAGATTATTATTATTTCTGTTCAAATTATTAGCAATTTAATAAAATTAAAAATTCACATAAATCTATACTACACATTCTTGTTATACTTGTAAAGTGAAAATTCTACTATTTTAAACTATTATAAGATAATCACTACTTGGAGAAACTTGTTTCTTTAAAAGATATTACTATTTTCATTATATGATCCGTTGTATACAAATATACAAATTGATAACCTAATATTATGCTACACAAGTCATTTTTTAAGTATTTTAAATAACTTAACCATAAGTCATTGGCATTAATAATAATTTATTCACACTCAATCATTTATAAGATTTCAAATATGAAATTATTACAACTTTGAACATTTACATAAATTATAAAAATATAGAATACTTACATTGTAATCCATGTTTTGTTATAAATGCTACTCAGCCGAAAAAAAAATTCAGTTTGAAAACAAAAAAATAATTATTTATAATAGGATAAATTAAAACATAATGAAATAATTACAACACGTACAATACAAACTGAGAAGCTCGTATTATTTTGATCTCAATATTGTTAAGTATTAAATCTATCACTTGGAAACCAAAACAAAAACATAACATATGATTCTAATGTCTGAAAAATTGAAATAGCAGTGTCGCCAACACGTTTTTTTTATAAAGGACAAATTTTTATTTCATTCAACCAAAGCAATTTTTTTTCATGTGATAACTGAAAATATAATTTAAATTAATAATTGAAAAGTAGGAATTTTTTTACTTTACTTAGAATTACTAAATTCCTAAACGAACATAACAGAAGCTTTTATTTATCAGTTGTTTTAAAAACTGATATTAAATTAATTACGTTTAGTCACGGTTGAAATATTTTCATTAACTACATTATATTCATAGATCAATTGTTCTACCCTTTAATAGATTTTTTTTCTTTTTATTGCTAAGAATTTATTTAATTCTTGTAAGTACCGAAAGTGAAATAGTTAGTGTTTACAAAATGAGTAAAACTGTAAGTAATTACATATTTAAAAATTTTACTTCTTTCAAATCTAATAAAACAACTTAAAACATAGATAAATATGTATTTTTTTTATTAAAATCGAAGTTTAAGAGTACTAGTAATTGTTTTAACAGAAGTTGGATATTTACATCAAATTTCTTCTAAAATATTGTTCATTAATCTGTAAAAATTACCTAATGAAAAATACTCTTGGCTTTATTAAATGGAGCTAAAGTCAATAAATCCCTTCTTTTTTTTTTTGAAGGGATAATACTTTTGTATGTATCGAAGTTTGTTTCACCAATATGTATAAGATTTTTCTCCTCTATAATAAACGATAGCTTAGACAAAAAAACATTAAATATGAATCCAAAAATCTATAATCTAGTAATCAACAGTATAAATACAAATTTTGCTATAAAACATGTGTGCTTAATTTTATTTTATTTTATTTTTAATTGATAATTGTAAAGAATGATTAAAGACAATTGTTGAAAAAAAATATATCTTAGAAATTTTATACATTAAGAAATTGATCTATAGATATATAGTTTATTAAATTTATCATAAAAAATGAATATTTATATGTAATTACCCTGAGCAAAAGAAAAAAAAATTATAGTAGTATAGACTTATTTCAGTATACCACTTGGTAATGTATCCAAGAGCCGTTAATAGATCCCCTTGAAAAATTTTAAATGTTTATTTTAGATATTAAGTTAGGTTTATAATATTAAGTAACTGAAGAAACCTTTTTTTACCCCTCTTCTTTCAAAATGTCATTTGGTCTATTGTCTGCTGATTACAATCAATATTTAGCATTGATTCAAAGCTATAAATATGTTAATTTTATCAAGATGTTTTTTTGTATTTGTCTCATTAATACTTAACTTCTACTAATATTGACAATCAATACGTCAAATGTTCTTGAATTATATTTGGTTGAAATCATTCTCCTACGTTTTTTATTAATGTAAATATTTCAATAAATGACATTTGTTGAAAATAAATGATTCTGATGTTTTAAAACATTAGAATCAGCCATTTAATTATATAAGTATTAAATACATTGGTCAACATAAAATTTTTATACTTTAATAAAATCAAATTAAAAACATAATAAAAATTAATTTAGAATATAACTATTGATCATGTTAAAAAATATTTTTCTTTAATAACAATATTCCAAAAATCCTGACCGCCTTTAAAAGATATTGATCCAAATTGTTTGCAATGTGGTTTAAATTAAAAAATATATATTATTGATTTATCTTCTATACTTTCCTATCAAAAAATTATATAATTTTTAAGTGTGAAGTAGTGTTGAAATGTGACATCCTAAAAACAACAAAATGATGATATGCAATAAACCAACAATATGCTACGTTTCCAGGTATATACAATGGCATTGATGCTCTATGTTTATACAATTTATTTAAGGGTCAATCCATACCAAATCATCCAGAAGGTTTGCATGACCACCTCATTTTTTTCTTAGCTTTTCAGGGTTAATTCTTTATGCTATAATTATATTAAAACAATTTTTTTTTTTATGACCTTCCCACTTTTATGGCTATTTCTATATAAAAACTGTTAAAAATAGCCATAACATTAAAAAACCCAGATTATTCAATATTGACATAATCAAATTAAAATTTTAGAATTAACATTATTATAACTTAAAGTTTACATTAAAAAAAAAAAAATGTGAAATTCTAAGTTTTAATGACTTTCTAAAAAGGGCGCTTTTTTTTGTGAATATTGGCTTTTTTGAGATAGCTTAAAACCATTAAGAAGTTATTATTTTTAAGTGATTTTCAAATGTGGTATTGTATAGTGTATAATCTATAAACATAGATTTCCATTAAATTTCAAATATTTAAAACAATTTTCTTGGGATTTAGAGGCTTACAAAGTTAGAAATTTTATAAAAATAGTCTTATTCTATGTACATTATATCTGTTGAGGGACCTAATTTCAAAAAAAAAAAAATTTTAATATTTTAGTTATATATCTGCATAATACTCCATAAAAATTTGAAGTTTGAGAAAAAGGTTTAACATGTAAAATTTAGCATTAGAAAGTCAGTAAAAATTCGCTCAAAATCAAATAATTTAATGATAGTTTTTATTGTTTTCAAAGCATATTTTTGTAATTGTTTTATATATTATTGTATATATGTAATATATTACAATTCAATATAATTATTATATATGTTATAAATATTCAATAAATATTTTAGTTGCAAGATAAAAAATTTAATAATTAAATTACTATGATAATATTGTAAAATATTTTAATAAATAATCATGATATATTCTAGTAGTTAGAATATTTTGTCTTCATAAATATCAGTTAATAATATCTTAAGACTTCTTATGGTACTGTTATTAATTGGTAAAAATCTGTGTTTTTCATTTTGTTGTACTTCTGAGATGGGTATATTTATGTATATTATTCCTTTCATTGTTTCATCGTAAAATTGAAACATAATTAGTCATCACAAGAACATAATAATATTTCTGTTGTTATATTTTAAAATCACCTTATACAAAACTTCAAATTAACAGTTCCGTTACCTTACCAGACATATTTATTTGTAATTTGTGTTAGAATAGCAGATATATATGTTGTACAGATTGAGGCATTAAAATTAAATAGATATTATTGGACTATTACAAAGTTTCACATTGCAAACACATAATATAAATTTGTAATCATGATTGTTTTGTGACCATTTCTGTATAGTTCGTTGAATAATTGAACATATAGTGAATATACATAAAATTTATATACACCACTACGTTTAGTATAAAAATATTCATTTAAATTCATTAGATACAGATTTATAATAAATGAACACACTTTTTGTTTTACCAAAATTTAAAAATTTATACATGATTTATTTATTAAAAGTTCTTATGTTAGTTTTTTAATATACATCAAGTCAAAAATAATAATTTTAATATCCCCATAAAATTATTTAATGGTTAAAATTGACAACTGGGAATTAAACCAAAACAATATTATTGTAAGAGTTTAGCCTAATTTTTGATAAATGGATGTGATATTTAATTTTAAAAGTCCACAACAACAAATTTAATGTTTACAATTTAATGTTGTAGTCATAAGTAAAACTCAATAGTGCATTTTGCACTATTTTTTTGAAACAAATTTATGAAGTTTTAAGAAAAAAAAAATTTTTATTAATCTTAATTATTTTTAACATGTAATTATCATTTATTTACTAATTAGTATTTATCTCAAAAAAAAAAATGTGATTGAATAAATCTGAAGTCAAATTTGAAATCAGCAGCAAAATTCCATAAACATGATCTAAATAGTGTAAATTTAAGCTTCTATGCAAAGCTGCGAATGTATTAATTTATTAATTTTTTTTTTTCAAAATACTTTCTTTTTTTTGAGAGAGAGAAAAAAATTACAACTAGCAATTTTAAGCATGCAAAGTTTTAGCCTGTATACTATAAATAATGCTCTTGGTTTAAATTTTTTAATACATGTGTAAATAAATACATATATTTTTTTCAGGTTACTTATTCTGAAGATCAGTTAGCTGGTAAGTTGATTAATTAAGCTAGGTTTATTGAGTGTGCTTTACTACTATTACTAACGACTACTAGACTTGAAATTTTTTATTTAAATTACTTCATAATCATATTAATTGTCCTGAACATTTAAACTTTAAAATTAATTCTTTTTAAGACATGTTTTCTATTCTTTAAATGTTAATAATACATACAAAATGTACTCTCCTGCTAATAAACTAATGTCAGCTGGTAATTCTCTATTTAATATTAACTTATTTCATACATCAATAACCATATTAATGGTATCATCGTATTTATAGTATTTAAAAAAAATTTTCTCTTATATTTCTATTCTATAAATAAATATTTATTATATAAATCTCTTGTCTTTTATTTATTTATTATTTTTCTTCTTTTTTCCCCCTTATATGAAAATGTGTTTAATTTTTAATCTTATTATATTAGTTTAAACTAAATCATTTAACCTATTTATTTAGATTTTATATATAAGTAAATACTGTCATATTATAAATAATTGTAATTGGAATATTTTTTTCTGTATTAAAGAATATTTAATTATAATTCTAAACCATAACCTATATTTTTATAAATGCCAGTAAACAATTCATAATTTTGTAATACAATATACAAATTAACAGAAAAAATAATATTGAGTTTTACACTCGAAATTATTAGTGAGGTATTTATTTTAATTTTTAGTTTGATATAAGGGCTAAAATTAATTTTATTCAACATGGATTCTTACTAAAGGAAGAAAAAGCTTATAGATTTCTTTTGCGACTTTTTCACCTGAAAACTGAAATGTTGTTCATAATATAATGAAATATTACTAACATATGCCCCAAGCAAACTTAAAATTCATTGCTGATATTTTTTATAAACCAAACCTATAACACTCAATGAGATAAGCTTAACAAAACAACTTGCTGCATTCATCTCGGATCTTAAATCTCTAATAAATCCCCTCTTCTTATCTCATTATTTAGCATAGTCATTGAAAAAATATTACTATGATCATACTGCTTTAGAATACTTATGGTGTTAACAACTATAAAAATTAATTTCATATTGTACTTAAAAAAAAGAAAGTAGATAATGTTCTAATATCAAAAACTTATTTTATTAACACACTTATATTAGCTTCACCTGTATGTTTGTACGTTTGTTTGTAACTATTCTTTTTCTTAAAATACATAAAGCTTATGGAAATACCTAAGAATACATGTCTGATAGTTAAATGATAATTGTAAGAGGTGACAAATGATTTTTATAATTAAAGACAATAATAGTTGTAAATATTTTCCAAGAATAATCAGTAAAAAAAATATAATTTTTAATAATTTATATGGAAGAAAAATATAGTTTAAAAAAACTAAAAAACACACTTTTAAAGCATATAAAACTAAATAGTTAAAAATAATTTTTAAAAAAAGGTTAACACAATAATGAACGAATAATACTAGTATTATTGTGAAAAAGGCACAGGGCGCTCAATTTAGGAAAAATATGGGACCTTTAAAAGCGTGTTTTTTTTTTTAACTTTATTTTTTCTAATTTAAACTTTAACAATAAGAGTCTTTGTCATTACATTACATCTTTTCCACAAGAAAACGGCAGTATAGATTGAATATTTTTAAAAAGTTTTCTTTTTATAACTGGTTTTTTAAGTTTCAATTTCTTTTCTTGTAAAATAGCTTCTAAATATTCTGTTTTTCTTTAAGTTAAATGATATTATTGTTTAATTTTAATTTTTAGAGATGGAAGAAGCATTTCAGTTATTTGATAATCGAGGTGATAATAAAATTCATATCTCCCATATTGGCAATGCTCTTCGTGCCTTAGGTCAAAACCCAACAGAATCTGATGTTAAAAAATTTACACAGCAACATAAAACTGGTATAAACCAATAAATACTACTCTTAAATATTTAGTAGTATATCAGCTATAGTTGATATACTGTTATATAATAGTAAATAGTTCAATTATTTAATAATGTAATTCTAAAAGAATCATGTACACTAATATACTATATTTAAAACTAGATGAAAGAATTCCATTTGAAGTATTTTTGCCCATTTATCAAGCTATATCCAAAAATCGATCAGCTAACACTGCTGATGACTTCAATGAAGGTCTAAGACATTTTGATAAAGAAGGAAATGGATTTATATCATCTGCTGAATTGCGTCATTTACTTACCACTCTTGGTAATGTTTTTATATTAATTGCTTTTAAAAATTCCCTTAGTTTTAGTTATTATCAAGGTAGACATAATGCCCATGCACTCAGACCTGTTTGTCCATTGTGCGCACCTTATACCGAATTGTCTCGATTCGGTTTACTCACCTAAGTGTTATCACCAAAGTGTTTATACATTACCAACCATAAAGTCACATCTAAAGATGACCAAAGAGTCCTGTCTTCCTGGCGAAATTAAGTATCTCTCTGAGTTTTAGATTTTTAATATCTTCTTTTTCAGGAAAAGGTTTATTCAAGTAGTTTGATCTTAGTAGGGCAAGGCTTCACATTTGCACACGATGTGAAATGAGTCTTCCTCTTCTACTCCACACTTCCTGCACAATGGTGATTCTGATACCCCCATTGCGTTAAGATGTTTAAGCAGGTGACCATTTCCTGTCAGTAGACCAGTGAGGGTGCTTATTTGATGTCTAGTCATGCTATTAAGATCACCTAACAGTAGACCAGGGGTCTTGATAAGATCCTTTGGTAGGTTCTTCTGTCCCTCCATGATTGCTCGGTTCTTCTTCAGCTTGCGCCTCTGACTGCCACTCAATGTCTCAGGTCTAAGTTTTAGACCCTTGATTTTGTCAGCTACTGCTCCCAGTTAATCTTGCGATTCTTGGTCTACATTTGTTGATGTTGCTGTCTCTTTGCTAGTAGACGGTTCACCAAGTGTCCCGTTGTTCGCATTGAGACCTTCAAGTTCGGCGATTCTTCTGTGAAGAGTCGCCAGTTTATGATCTTGTTCCGACAGGTTGTCCATAGGATCCCTGATCGTCTCAAGTTCGTTGTTTTGTGGTTTTTCTATGTTTTTGTCCATATAGTTCCCACGAGTAGTCGAGACATAAAGGTCCATCACAGCAAAGCCTGATACTGTGATAAGGCTGTATACTCTATGGTGCGCCAGGTGCCATAGAGGTCCCAATGGTCACTACCTTTCGGCTAACTACCCTTTGACAAGTTAGCAACCCTTTCACTTGGTATAACTGGGTTATGGAGGCCTATTCGCTGTTAGCAAGAAGGTATGCCCTGGCCTACCAGTCCCAACTAACCAAAGTCATGACCGGCTAAGAGCAATGGCACGTGTTGCCACCCCCACTGAAATAACTAGGGTCCAAGGGGTTGTTAGGCCCGTATCCTTGCAGATTCCCTTGCGGGAAAAAAAAAAATTCCCTTAAAAATAGTTTAAATTGAGGAATCATGACCTAACATTTTTATTAATGCTAAATACTACAATTTTTTTTAGATTTTAAAGAATTTTTGATTAAAACATTTAAAAATACAAAAAGGTTTATAGTTTTAAAAATAAATATTCAAAAATAGTTATTTTATATATAGCATACACTTTTTTGTATTATATTTATTCCCAAATAGTAATTTAATAGGATTTAGGTAAATTAATCCAAGTCTAAATTACAAAAAATGAATGTCCTCTCTCAAAAAATTTGAGTTGTGAAATTTTGTACAATAGTAAAATGTAAGATCTCCATTGGTAAAAAAAAATTAATCATTCGGTGAAGTATGATGATCTAATTTTTGTTAATATAATCATGTAATTCCTAATATCTATAGAACTAGTTTAATTCAAAATTCCTATAGGATTCAAACTTTCAAAGTTGCATTCTATATCATCTCTACCAATAATCAATTATACAGTTGATACCTTGAGTCTGTTAGTTGCTTAGAAAGTAAGAGGGTTTACATTTTTTCTATATAGCTTGGCAATTCAAATAATAGTAATACACCATTTGTTTTTTTTTTTTGCTGTTTAGACCATTGATGAATTTTTTGAGTTCAGTATAATAAATCTGAATATACAAGACTACCTTTTATATTAGATAATTTTTTCTTAATTAAAATACTTGTTTTATATTAAAAATTGTCACTCAACTCTAATTATTAAGTATTTGTAAAAACAGTTTTTGTTTTTGACATAAATTTGTATTTCTTATTATTCATAATTTCAAACCGTGTACCAAATATTTATTTCTATGGATCCACAACAGTTATTGATTATTAACATTATTTTTATAATGATAATTTATTGAAACATTTTAGTGTTATCGATATTGATATTACATCTCAAAATCGCAATATTTTTGACATTGAGTAGAATAGGAGTATCAATAATAGAATTTTAAGTATACTTAGACAATTTATATCTGTTTCAATATTGGCATAATTTTAAATCATCTATTTTGATCATTAACATTATGTGAATTCTTATTTGACTATTACGCCTAGATGGTCACTGGTGCCTATGTTATGTATAAAAAATATTGGACCTGCAATACTTATGTTACCGTTTTTGGCGCTAATGAAAATAGTTAAAGTTATGTTTATCAACGTTATTTTTTATTTATTATCTTGGACAATAATATGGGGTAGGCAATTTAATTATACGCTGAATCGTAACTGATATACTTTTCATATCTACGATGTATATAAACAATCAAATTTTGCAGATAATACGTTTTTCTTTTTAATCTTATTTTATATTAATTAGTCATTAAACAAGATTTACCTTTCTATAAAATTTTTTGATGTAAAATTTTTCATGATAAAAAAATTAAGACATTTTTATGTTCATTATATAATTTTTTAACTAAATAATTATAATGAACCTAATTTTTATATTCATTTACAATATTTTCAGTGAAACATAATTCTAAATTTTTGTTTAATATTTAGGAGAAAAATTAACTGATGAGGAAGTAGAACAACTATTAAATGGACAAGAAGATTCTTTGGGAAATATAAATTATGAAGAATTTGTACGCACTGTTACTTCCGGTTGAATTAATTCATTTTTATGTTTAGTTAACTTATTTTAATAAAAAATTTATAAAATAATAATACATTTTTAATTGTATCTAATTATTAATGTTTACTTATAAATTAAATATCAACATTAAAAAAATATTTATATTTATACATAAACTCACTTAAATTAAATAACATTTTATTTTTAACAGTTATGTCATTTAATTACTCTTATTAATATATATATTTTTTCATTACTTTTGTGCTGGCAAAAAAATATAACTTTTTGAAGTCAATCTATAGTTTGGTATGCTACCTTATTAAAAATGCAACAACTATGAAACCCTGATACAATATAGCATCAGTAAATTTGCAACTAGTACCTCTCAATCAAATATTTTATGATAAGATGTGTCATTATTTCTTTTTAAATATTCTCATCCAAAAAGGCTACACCGATGGGTGTAGCACAATAGTTCGATCAAGACACATGTTATCAGTCTTAAAGTGAACATAGTGAATATTATCGCATAATATTGAACGAGTTCCTTATCCCCAATTTCAAAATGCGGTGTACATTTTTAATCACTTAAAAATTAACTTAAATTTTAATTTAAATTAAAGTAAATTTTTTTTACAACTACTTTTTAAAATAATTAGGGTTTTCTAATCGTGTGAAACAATATTACGAGGTCTTATGAGAAGTATGCCTTGGACGGAAGGATAATTTTACTGAAAAATATATATATTTATGATATAATCAGTAACTATTTAATTACTATTTAAGCTATTTATTGTAAAAATCAAATTGTTTATATTACTATTCCATTAATAATAATTTTATTTTTTAGCTCATTGCATTACTATTTAGAAAACTATTTATAAAAGATATATCAGCATAAAACAGATCTTTATAAAAAATATAAAGATATCTGACAGTGATTAAAATCACTATAAAAAAAAAAACGCTTCGATGCAAATCTTTAGATAGTTTTTAATTTTAAAAAATTGGTGGATTATTCTAAAAGCTACATGATTTGCTATTTCCTTATTATTATTAATCCTGATTAAGATAAAGTATGTCGAATGAAAAAAGGATATAAATATTATTTCTGATAAAAAAATTGTGTTGATCCATACACTTTCAATAAGTTATAGCATTATAAAGTTAAAAATGTAAAATATAAAATCGATCATTTTCACACAAAAATAGCATTTGGTAGCCATTTTCACCATGAAAACAAAATTAAGTCCGAAATTTTATTTTGGTAGACATCAAGCATCTATAAAAAAAAAATTATATAGATATGTTCATTTTTGAAAAAGTTATGGCAGTTTAAAGAAAAAAAAATTTCGAAAATTAGAGATTTTTAAATTTGTAATTTTTTTGGAGGTTCCTCCCCCCATTTACTGGAAACGAGGGAAAATTTTTTAATTTTTGAGGGTAATGTCTTCGACTAGATANTGTAAAGATATTCATTAAATTGAATTTCATATTCAGTTTAGAAATAAAATAAAAAAGTTGAAAAAAAAATGTAATTTTTTACACAATTATGTAAATATTTAAATCTATTCAATTATGTTCATTATTGTAGGAAAAATATAAACTTGTGCTATATATAAAAAACGGTAGCACTGTGGGGTCGAGGCACAGTGTGGACGAGGCATAGATGGGACAAGTATAGATGATATCTGACAGTGATTAAAATCACTATCATAAGAAACGCTTCGATGCAAATCTGTAGATAGTGTTTCATTTAGAGAAATTGGTGGATTATCCCAAAAGCAACATCAACTCTTATTTCTTTAATTATATCCTGAATAGTAGTTCTTTGATTTTAAAATATAATATATGAATAAGTACTAATTATAGTTTTTAAATTTAGTATGAAATTGTGAGGCCAGCTATGATGTATGGTTCATAGTGTTGGGCGGTTGATAAAAAAGTAGAGCAGATAATAAGTGTAGCAGAGATGAGAATGCTTAGTTGGATGAGTGTAGTGACTAGAGAAGATAGGATAAGGAACGAGTATATAAGAGTGAGTATAAGTGTAGCGTCAATTGTGGATAAGATGACAGAAAATAGACTTAGATTGTTTAGTCATGTTATGAGGAGAGAAGAATCGGAAGCCGTAATAACAGTTATAGAAATGAATGTTGAAGGAAGAAGAGATAGAAGAAGACCAAAAAAGAGATGGAGGGATGCTATTGAATGCGATTTGAGGACAGCTGATGTGAGCGTAGAAGATGTGGGAGATCGTGTCAAGTGGAAGCTTAGGATAAGGGTGGCCGACCCCGAGTACTTGGGATTAAGGCAAAGAAAAAGAAAAATATTACCAGAAATTCCGGTGGCAATTGACATAATATGATTGTTGTTTGGGAATGTACAATTTAGCGTTTAGTTGGGTTTAAACAATATAGCGTCAAATCAATTACCTATTCTATCGCTTGTATATTAATATACACTACACTTTAATGATACTGTTATGTATCTCTTTATTGCACTTAACACTTTTAATATTACAATAAAACATAACATATTAATTATATGACATAATGTGTAATCAAATTGGTTAGGTTATAACAAACAAAACAGTGTTGCCACATAATACAACACAACACTTCCTCTCTTAAAACAATATATATAAAAAATACTAATTAACACTTAAACATATAAATTTTAAATTTAATTATATTATTATAAATTCATCTTTATAACAGGTTTCTTTGGTCTACTTGAAAATCTATGATTTTGTATAGTTTTTGTTGAATTGTTTTCTCTTATAGTGCTCTGCTCTTTTGTAGTTTCAACCGTTTCCTCTTTTGTTATTTTATCTTCTTTTACTTCTTCTGGTATTTTTTCTTCTTTAACTTCTTTTGGTATTTTTTCTTCTTCTACTTCTTCTGCATCTTCCTCTTCAATCTCATATTTAACTTTCTGAATTTGGTTGGCATGTCTCTTCCAAGTAACACCACTTGGTAGTTCCACTAGATACATGACATTTCCCAATATTTTTATAATTTTTCCTTTTGTCCATTTCTCTCCTGTATATTTCCTTACTATAACTTTTTCATTAATATCAAAATGTCTAACTGTTTTATTGGTCTTTTGTTTTTCTTGATTTTCCCATACTGTACTTCGAATATTAGGTTTAATTAAATCAAACCTGTTACGAAGGTTCCTTCCAAATAATAATGTAGCAGGACTTTCTTTTGTTGTAGTATGCATTGCAATTCTATAGTCAAATAAAAATTGATTTAATTGTAGATTAACATTTTTAAAAGATATTTTTTTAAGAAATGATTTAATAATTTTAACTCCACTTTCTGCTTGGCCGTTACTTTGTGGATGGTATGGTGATGATGTTCTTTGTTTAATACCATTTTTAGCTAAAAATTCTTTAAACTCTAAAGATAAAAATGGTGGTCCATTGTCTGTAACTAAATATTCTGCTATACCAAATCTAGCGAATAGCTCTCTAAACTTGTTGATGGTATATTGAGCTGCTGTTGATGGTACTTGAAATACTTCTATCCATTTTGAGTATGCATCTTCAATAACTAAAAATAAGCTACCCTTAAATGGTCCTAAAAAATCAGCATGTAACCTTTGCCAAGGTCTTTCTGGCCATTCCCATGTATGTAGAGATGTTTTTTTAGGCATTGATCTCACATTCATGCATTTTCCACATTTTCCTGCTGTGCTCTCAATGTCTTTATCGATGCCAGGCCACCATATGTGCATTCTTGAAATAGACTTCATTTTAACTATGCCTAAATGATTTTGATGGAGTTCCTTTAGCATTTTATCTCTGAGTGTCTCTGGTATTACTACTCTGTGACCCCATATAATGATTTCTTGCTCCAAGTTTAATAATTCTTTTCTTAGTTTAAATGGTTCTAATTCTTTTTGCACTTGTTCAGGCCACCCATATTGTATATAGTATTTTACCTTACTTAATATCGGGTCTTTATTTGTTTCTGTCTTCACTAAAGCAGCATCCATGATTCTCATTTCATCTATATGGTGTAAGTATGTTATTTCTGGTGTATTTGCTTTTTCTACTTTGAGTGGCATTCTGGATAAGACGTCAGCACTGTTGCTTGCAGATTTGGTGAACCGTATATCAAAATCATAATTTGTTAAAAATAAAGCATACCTTTGTAGTCTCGATGCTGTCGTTGTTGGAATTCCTTTTTTAGATCCAAAAATGCTGATTAACGGTTTACAATCACATCTTATTGTAAATTTATTTCCATATACAAAATTGTTAAATTTGTGGATACCAAATATAATTGCTAAGGCTTCTTTATCTATTTGGCTATAATTTTTCTCAGCAATATTCAGAGTTCTTGAAGCAAACGCTATAGGGTGCTCTTGTTGTTTTTCATTGACTTGTGATAATATAGCGCCAAGTCCATAAGTTGATGCGTCACACGTTAATATAATTGGTAGTTTTGGATCAAAATGCTTTAGGACCCTGTCTGATGTTATCTCTTCTTTGATTTGATTGAACGCCTTCACACAGTTATTATTAAAATTAAATTTGGTATTTTTTCTCAATAAATTGGTAAGTGGTGCTTGAATGGTTGCTAAGTTAGGTATAAACTTCCTATAATAGTTAATCAATCCAAAAAAAGCTTGCAAATGTTTTTTGTTTTTTGGATTTGGAATTTGTGTAATAGCTTTGATCTTAGCTGGATCTTGCTTGCACCCGTCTTTGTTGATGATATAGCCTAAAAATTTAATTTGTTCTTTGAATAAGATACATTTTTCCTTCCGTACTGTTAAATTCATCTTCTTTAATAAAGTTAATACTTCCTCTAGGGCTTTCAAATGTTCTTGCTCATTATCCCCAAATATTAATATTTCATCAAAATATATTTTAATGTTATTAATGTGTTTAAGCTTTTCACTAAATCTATTTAAAAATATTCCAACTGATGCATTTATACCAAATGGAACTCTGTTGTACACATAAACACCTTTATGCGTGCTTATGGCCGTTAACTCTTTTGATTTTTCTTCTAAACTGAATTGTAAGTATGCTTGGCTTAGATCTATGATCGAAAACTTCCCTCCCGTTTTAATTCCAACCATTAACTCTTCTATAATTGGAACAGGGGCTCTTTCTACTTTTATATATGGATTTACAGTTACTTTATAATCTCCACATATTCTTATATCACCTGATGGTTTAACTATTGGTA